GCTGAAGCTTGCCGACGTTCAGGATCACTACCAGGGTGTTTGGGCGAAGTGCGAGTGGGCACAGGTGGCTTCACACGGGCTTGCTGTCGTTCGTGAGATATGTCGGGTCGTTGTTTAGGTAATACGAAGCATGGATGCGTGTGTGAACAAGCTTGTACATCTGGCGGGGATGAGGGCGGGGGTGCACTTGAAGTGTGGCAATGATTGTAACGCCGATGGCCATGACCCATGACGCTTGCGCGTATGGCGATGCTGGCAGCCTGCCGCCACGACTCACGACCTGGAGTCGGTATGGAGGTGTCGATGTTGGGTATCATAATGTTGGTGATCTGCGATCGGATCTAACATTGCAAACGGCCCTGATCTCGGCGATGTTGACGCTGTCCATGCTTGTGGTCTGGCAACCGTCTGACAACGGTCTTGACGGTACTTTTGTTTGTTTGCGGAAGTGATCGGGGGTATTTGCGGTAGTTTTGTTTGGAGTTGTCGATGGGTTATGGGTGGTTTGGGCGCGCGTGACGACGACGCCAAAGGTCATGCCCGCGTTCGTGCCAGTGCAACGATCGGCAATCAGACGGGTGCCATGGTCTCTGCTAGATTTTCTCAACATCCAGCCGATGCCCATTGTGCAAAGGTGGTAGCTATAACCACACCGGGGTTGGTGCCAACGACGTTTTGTTGCGTATGACCAATCGCATGACATGGAAGTCGTTGTGATAATGACGTTGATAATGGTGACGGTGGTGATGGCTACTTCGACAGCCGCCAGGGAGACGATCACGATCATGGTGGTCGGAATGGTGTCGTCGGCAAGGGTCATAATTCGCAACGCTGCTTGTTGTGATGCGTTTGTTTGGTGTGCGCATGCGGGTGTTTTTGATGCCTGGCTTTGACGAAGTCGCGACCTCTGGGAGCACGGAAGGCAGGATCTGGGTAGGAAGCGAAGTGGGACGGGCACGGTTGACCGTCCGTGGCAGTGAGCCTGTGGGAGCGAGCCATGTCAAGCGGTGGGTCCAGGCGGCGCAGCGGAGAGGGTCCGGTCCGAGTAGTCAATCTAAACTCGATTGCGTGGAAGTACTTGTTCGACCGTGCACCAGGCATAGTTTGTGTATCGGCCTACCCTTACACCACACGGCGCTAACTTGATTGCTATAGCCTTTGCTGTGATTTTTTCTTTCTGGCAGTTTCAATAGCTCGGCGCCTGCTCGGAACCGCACCGCTTGTTTAGCACGCTGTGGAGCAGTTCGGCTCAGTCGTTCACTGTGGCTGGCGATGCTACGTTGGTGCCCAAACGCATTGTTTTCAGCGCTCGGTGCAACGGCGTCGATCTTCATGTGGATGCCCTTCGTACTCCACACATCTGGCGTCGTGGCATTGTAATTTCGAGTAACGTTTTTTTTTGTGTGTGTGTGTGTGTTCCTTGGAAGTGGTACCGGTCTGCTGCGTCGGTGGAGAGCGCGTTGCGCATCGGAAGGTGGTCACAAACGTCTGCAAGTCCTGCGCAGATGAGCCCAAGACCATCCGGTTTGCGTCTCCTGCTCTTTCGCCTCCTTCTCCAATGTCGGCAGGGAGCAGGCGGAGGATGCTGATGATGATGAGGAGGGGCAGGAGGAGAGGAGGGAAAGCTTTAATTGCGGTCCTGGAGGAACGAACACACAAGAGGAGGAGGAGGAGGAGGAGGAAATGGAGGAGGAGGAGGAAGAGGAGGAGAGGAGGAAGAGGAGAAAAAGCAGGAGTAGGAGGACGAGTAGGAGGAGGATGAGTAGGATGTGGCGGGCTGGCGACTTCTTGGCGAAGTTTTTTTGTAGAGAACGTGTGGTGCTCATTTGGCCGAGTTTGATGAGGTGCCTACTGGCCTACGTGCAGAGATACGATGAGAAAGCGTCGGAGGAGGCTTCGCAGAAGTGCAACTGTCAGGATAATGAGGTTGCAGGTATTTAGCCTCTCTGGCATCGGGCGTTGAACAGCATTGCCGCGAAGGCTAGCCTGGCCATGCGCTGTAGGTGTCGCTTCTCTTGCAGGCTCATTCCCCCAAAACATGACTCCGGCGTGGACCCCGAACCGCGAACTAGTGCAACTCGTCAGGCTCAATGCGAAGCAATGAAATACAAAGCAAAGCAAGGCAGCGCAAAGCGATGCAAGGCCTTGCAAAGCAGTGCACCGCAGTGCAATGCAGTATAGAGCAGTGGAAGACGATGCAACGCAACGCCGTGTAACCATCAACACACATCTGTGCAGCGCGTTGCAACACAATGCAACACCATGCTGCGCATTGCAAGCGGTGCCAAACACGTCTGCTCCAAGGACTGCACACGCAACGCAACTCAAACCAGTGCAGCGCGATACAGAGTAATGCAAAGGCATGCCAACATCGCAAAGACATGTACACCAGCACGTGTAAGGAAAAGCCCATCGTGCAATGCAATGCAATGCAGGGCACGGCAATGCAACTCAAGTCAAACCAGGAGCGCACCTACAGTCAACCCAAATAGTAAGGACGGGCAATTTTCGCAAGGGTAACCTTGCATCTTTGCCTCCTCGGCCCATCCTTGGCCGCTCTTGCTGGCCGCGCCTCTCCCGCGAAGTGTCGACACGGTCTTCCAAGGCCCGTGCATCTTTATCGTGCGTCTTTATGATACGGGTCGATTGTAATGGCACCCAATAACTCCAGGAGCTTCCTGCGCAATCCATGGCGCAACCCGTGGGTAAAGCCAATGGCGCAACCCATGGGCGCAACCTGTGTGCCACTCGAACTCTGCAGCCCTCGTGCGCAACCCACGGCGCCATCCATGGGCGCAGTCTACGGCACCTGAACGCCCCTCGGCCCTCGTGCGCAACCCATGGCACTGCATGCGCAACCCCTGGGTGTGCGTGTTTTTTTTCCTCCCAAGGGTGCAGTCGACCCGTATCATAAGGACACGATAAAGATGCAAGGGCCTTGGAAGACCGTGTCGACACTTCGCGAGCTGGGCGCGGCCAGCGAACGCGACCAAGGATGGGCCGAGGAGGCAAGGATGCAAGGGTACCCTTTGGAAGGTTGCCCATCCTTATTATGCGGGTTGACTGTAACGCTCGTTATCCAGGCCAAACTTCCCCCCCAACCCCTCTGTGTAACGCTACCGATCGTAGTGGGGGGGGGGGCCTGGACCCCTCCCTACATGCTGTGGTACACGCAGGCGAATTATGCGCCAGTGGCGCGGACTCACCCTGGCGGGTGCACGCCGCGGCCGCCGTTACCGTTATCCTCCCGCCCGACCCCCCCTCTTCCCCGGGCAACGGTCGTTACCCTGGAAAGAAAAGACGGTCTCTGAGAAAACCGACCTACTCATTAGCGCAGCCAATGGCACCCAACAACCAACCGGCCACTACATTCGAATTTTTCGGTGGCATGAGGAGCCCCGACGGGAGAGCACGGTTGGGACCGGCTGCGAAACGAGGAGTGTTTCACGGCTGGATGAGGGAGAGGCCGCGGCATGAATTTGATCGGATTGCATTGTCAGTTGCCACGGGCTTGTGGCGCATGCAGTTTTTCGAAGAAGGTGCGCTCTGAGGCCAGCCCTCGTAGGAGGGGTGAACCCCTCCAACGCGCCACCCCACCACGTAAGTATCGAGGAAGCACAAGCATGGATTCAGGCGCGTGGATTCGCGACGGTTCTCGCTTCCATGCAGAATCGGCGAGCTCCGCCAACAACGGGCGGCTCTGGCGCCGTTTCGCAGGGCAACCTCCCCCGATCCCTGGACCTGGCGACCGCGCACCTCACCACCCACCAAACCGCCCCAACCCAACCTGAAGGCATCACTTTGTCTTCCATTTCCAGGGGGGGGGGGGGCGGGGAACATCGAACAAACACACATACCACATACGGCACCCGTACCCCCCAGTCCGAAATTCGGGTCTTCGGGTTGGGTTGGGGAGGTCCCAGAGCTGCGTATCCCTGATCCATTTTTTAGCGTGCGCCCGAACGTACAATTGGGGCCCATGCCAAGAAACACCCTGCTTGCCTCCAGGTTGCCCTGGGTTTCTTGGGATTCGATGGTTTTACTATGGAAAGGGTGACGTTCCCACACCACGAGTCGATGGACGTCCTGGGGTCTCAGGGTTGGGTTTCTTGTGGCGGGTTTCTTATGGACGGGCCTCCACTGTAGCCCCCGGGACTCAGCTCAGGCAGAGGTCGCCATCCGAGGGACAGCCATCCCGGAACCAATCTACACACACGCCAGGTGTGCGGCGCTCGCGGAGTGCGCTACGCAGCGCCAGGGGCGCTACCTACCCCAAAGTTAAGTCGGGCACGTCCTTCTACAGAAGGAGTATTTTAAATCTAGTCAAAAATAGTCTAATGACGGTTTTGTTACTATTTTTGGCATGTGTGAATTTGTTTGAGGTATTGTTTTTCCTTCCCGAATCCGCCTGTAGCGTGACATGCCCGACCTAACTCCAGGGGTCTTGCCTGGCGTGCCAGGCTCGCTTGGTGCGCCATATGCTTTAAGTGCGCCAGGCGCGCCAGGTGCGCCGCCTGCTGCGCGCCGCGCACAGGGTACGCTGGGTGCGCGAGTCCACGTGGCAGAACGCATCTGGCAACATGTCGACTTCCCCAACCATGCGTTTCAACAGATGCACTGCACCGTGGCGGCCGGGTGGCCATCAGAGTACATTGTGCGTGCGCCCGCAATAATTTGTCAGGGATGTTTGGGACAGCGCACTGCGGACAAATATGCTCCCCGCCATCCCTGTCAAAAGTAGGTGCAAATTGCTCGCGGGGGTCCGGATCACTATGCAGAAGTTGGTGTGCGTTCAATCATATGTTCGACCAGGATGTAGGGGGTCCCGCATAGTTCAAGGTCGGCGGCATGTCGAGTCGGAGACGGGGTGTTTGTCAGCGAAGAGCAGTTGCAACCTGTCTTCGACAACCAAAGCACGACAGCCACAGGAATCAATGTACTTGATTAGAGGAGTGAAGGGAGAAAGCGTTTACCGGATTGAAGTGTTACGTAGCACCCCG